GCACGATCAGGACCTCTGAGAGCTCCAGATTGGCTCCTCTCAGCCTGGTAGGCCTTAATTTCCTATATCTCCACCCTTTTATTTGTTACATGGGTGTTCAGTGGGAGCCAGAGTTCTTTGCTCAGGCCTTTTTGACCCCACCTGAGGAGGGCTCAGCAACTGGACTGTGCCTGTCTTAAGTTGGCCTGCCTAACAAACTCTTGCCTGTCATTCATTGACTGTCAGCCCTCAAAGAGCATTCATTCCTGGAAACCTGCCAGGGTTGGGGGACTAGGCAGTAGCTTTTGAATTACAGATAACCTGGCATTCATAACCTCCTACAGAGGACTGCGAAAAGGATGCCTAAGAGCCAGGAACACCTGAAGAGTCACCTTAGTTGCTGTCTACTGATGTCGGATCTGCTACAGGAGATACTTAAAAAGAATAAGGATTAACAATACCACCCTGTTAATTAATGCATATGTGAACATCCAGGAGGGATCACATAGCCTTTTTATATTATACTAAACCTTTTCAAAAAATGAATAGTCAAAGGCTTTAACTTCTTGCCTAAATAAATCATCTTGTTGGGGGCGGGCGGGAGCAATGAGAGCAAGAACGGGGAGTGTGTACATTACCCATCCTGGTTATTCTCTGTGATGGAAGCAGGCTGATCCATGGTCAGGTGCTCATCTCTTACCAGGACCCATATTGGCGTCATGGCAGTCTGAGGAAAAACACAAGCCTATTCTCTCCCAAGGGTTAGCAGGGGGACTGGCAGCTGCTGTTGGAGGGACATAGGATCTCTCCATCTCACCAGGGGCAAGGGTGTGTTCCTTCGCAGAGATGTCAAATGCTTGTAAGCTGGGCTGAGCCTTTTGCCATCAAAACTGAGAAAGTTCACGTAGAGAAGGACCTCTGTAAGGCCAGATGAGGATCTCTCCTGGCCTCTGATGAGATAGTCCTTAAGAGCTCTTTAAGCTTACTGATGCTTCTGCGAGCCTTACTAAATCTGCTGTTGAAATCCTGTGGCAGATTTTTCGTTAAAAAGTCCAAACTTTCTAGCTGTAAATCTTCCATATGGCCCTTTCTCTGCCTCTTGTCGGTGTCCTAATCTCCTGTAGTTCTTGCTTTCTGAGGGATTTGACCCAGTTGCACCCTTTGTCCAGTAAGTGCAGTTGTCTGTGCTTTCTGGGGGGAGCGTCTGCTCCAGTCTTTCTTGTGGATGAGCCACACTCTGTCACACTGAATTTGAAACGTGGACATTTTGATCTTGATGATGTAATTCTCAGCAGCAGAGTCTCCTCTCCCTTAGGCTTTCATGGTTGTGCTTGCTGTGTGATTATATGATAGCTGGAACCTGTTCAAAGTGACATTTAGAGACGCCTTCATGAGCTGCAGCCTCCAATGCCTGCTGCCCTAGTGTAGAACTCAGTAGTGATTTGACAGAGATGCCATATGACCAGAACCAAGACATAAGAGAAAAAGGAGTTTCCCTGTGTAGCCATGACTGTCCTAGAACTCACTTTGTAGACATACTGGCCTCGAACTCAGAGATCCACCTGCCTTTGTCTCCTAAATGTTGGGAATAAAGGCATGAGCTACCAATTGCCTGGCATAACTGTACTTTCAAGAGACCCAGCACTTTCTTCTGGCCTGTGTGAGCATCAGGTACATATATGATGTTTGTACATATATGCAGGCAAAATACTAATAACACATAAAATAAAAATTAGGAAATTTTTAGGGGCCTGGGAGATGACTCAGTGGGTAGAGGCACTTGTTGCCAAACCTGACAACCTGAGTTTAATCTCTGGGCCCATGTGGTAGGAGAGAACTGACGCCCACAAATTGTCCTCTACCCTCCACACACGCACCTGCGCCTTGGCACCACTGTGCCTATACAGATCCATAGGTTAAAAAATGTAAACTAATATAATAAAATGTTTCTGGGGTTTTGTTTTGTTTCTTTGTTTTTCAAGACTGGGTTTCTCTGTGTGACAGCCCTGGCTGTCCTAGAACTAACTCTTGTCCCAGGCTGGCCTTGAACTCACAGAGACCCGCCTATCTTTTCCTCCCAAGTGCTGGGATTAAAGACATATGCCACCACCACCTAGCAATAATAAAATATTTTTTAATAGAGGAAAATGCTCTCAAAAAGTCTTTCCAGTTGGCAGTGTGTTAGGATGGTTTGCAGAACATAGACGACTGCAGGGCCGGGGTTGGTGGTGGTGCTGCCTCACGTGCTCGGGGCCGAGCTCCAGTCTGCTCTTAGCAGGAGACCCACGTCCTCCCTTGGCGCATGCATCATTTTCTAAATGCCTCCATTTCATGTGGGCTCCCAACAGTTTGGGGGGCTTTTCCATCCTAAAATTTCTTGCTCTGTAACTTTGTCTCTCAACCCTTGTATTTCCATTGTATTGGTTTTGTTGATGTTTGATTGGTTGGTGGCTTATTTGTTTGTTTGTTTGTTTTTGTTAGTTTTTTTGGTTGTTTTGTTGGGTTTTTGTTTGTTTGTTTGCCCTGAGCAGCAGGTGGCTTACAGCATTTCCTAGGGACATCTTTTTGTTCGACTTAGTGTTCTGTGAGTTCTGAGTTAGACAAAGTGCACAGGCTCCTTGCATCATTTCCTAGGAAATTCGTGGGCAGATTAAAGCAGAATGAGTGCAAGCCTGTAATTCAGCCTGTAATTCAGCCTGCAAGAGGCTGAGGTGCAGGGGCCAGAGGAAACTTGCAGTGTCCTGCTCTAGCACTTTCTACTCCCCAGGAGACAGGCTGTCACTGAGTCTGGTGCTGTACTAACACCATCAAACCCAAGCGATCCTCCTATCTCTGCCCCCTACAGTGTTAGCGGCACAGGAACTTGTATGACCACACCCATCATTTTACATGGGTTCTGTAGTACCTCTATTATGTACATAAGTTATTATCAGCCGTATATTGGTTTGCATGGTTTTTGGGCTTTGCATCAGTAGCATAAAATATATGTGTCATTCAGTTTTGTTTCTTCACTTACCTGCCATCCCTCAAGTCTACCACGGCTGTCCATTCTTACTTTGCAGCGGTCTTCCCACAGCAGGTATAAGGACTGCTTAGGTGGAGGGCTGGGTTGGCACATGTGCTGGTGGCTGGGAGACCTCTCCTCTCCTTCCTGCATGGGCAGCTCTGTGAGCTCCACAGAATCCGTCTTCCTGGAGAGGCCTGTGAAGTCGTTCTAAAACGTAGCCCAGACTTTAAAATTCAGTGCTTGGTTGATTCCTTTTCTGAGTCATTTCCTTCTTCAGAAGCATGAACTGACATTTCTGTCCTGTAACTCTTAGGTGTTACTATCTGCTGTTGGCTTTCTGCACTTGTACTATGCCTAGGCTTAGTGTAGACTGACTTCTATTGTCAATGTTCAAGGTGGGTTCTAGAAAGTTGTAAGGCTTTTGATTTTGAATGTCCAGTATTCATTAGTTGGGACATTTTAATCACTTGTGTCTTATAACTCTTATTTCTTATATGTATTTCTTTGTCTCTGTTTGCCCCAGACTGTGAGTATAAGAGAAGTTGCTTCCATTCATTGATTGCCATGTCCTGCATTTTGTGGTCGAGGCCTCTGTGGGACACATGAGGGCAGATGCTGATGACTCCACGCTCTGCAGTGATAGTGAGGATGGCGTTTCCAGCTGGTGGTGATGACTTGATAGATGATCAGCTGTGGCCTGTCCTTTTCTCTGCTGGCACTGAAGCCATCTCTAGAACATTCTTACTACTCTCATCAGGAGATAAGAAGCCCTGTCATATGCCAGGTGTAGCATGATTCCTAATTGTTCTTATTAATAAAACCCAGAGTCGGGTATCAGTGGGTGAAAACTGAGAGATCAGAGAAGCAGTGCAGTCAGCCACTAGGGCGACCCTTTACCTCTGCCTCAGCCCACAAGGGCGACCCTGTCCTCAGAGTGCACCTCAGCCTGCGTCCTCAGCCTGTGTCCTCTGTGCACTGAGCTCCTGCTTCCTCTTGCTTCATATCGCCCGTCTCCACCTCCCTAGTGCTGGGACAAAGGCGTGTCATCCCAAGTGCTGGGGTCACCTCTGTGTGAGCTAGGTTTCTCTTTTAGACTGGATCAGTCTCATGTAGCCCAGGGTGGCCTTGAAGTAACAGAGATCTGTCTGCCTCTTTTCCCAGTGTGCCACCACTGCCTGGCCTCTAGTAGCTCTGCGCTCCGATCTTCAGGCAAGCTATATTTGCTAAAACACAAACAGAATATCACCACTGCTAGGTCTGCAGATTACAGATATTCCAGCATCCTCTCATTTGTTACAGTATCTGGAGCATCCAGGATGTTGCTTCTCCCTTATATGACAGCTCTCCAGCCTGTACCCTCCCCATGGTTCCCCTGGTTCCTCACTCTGCTCTTTTGTCTTGGCTATGTATCAGATTTGTGATCAACTTAGCTTTTTCATTCATGTATTTTACCATAGATTGAGGGGGGCAGTGGGGCCAAGCTTGGTGGCCCTACATCTTTAGTTCCAGCACTTGGAGGCAAAAACTGTTAGTTCAAGGCTAGCTGGTCTGTATAGTGAGTTCCAGACAGCCAGAGAAAGTGGTGAGACTCTGTGTGAAAAAGATAACAGAAAAAGAAGGGGAATAAAGTCAGTCTGTAGATCTTCCTCACTTCCCATCTTTACATAATTTCTCTGGATTTGAAGCTATAACCATCCTTTTCTAAAGTGTATCATTCCGAATTCTCTGAAGGTTTTAAACTACAGTGACAACCCTTAGTAGTTTGAGATGCTATGAATTGGTGTGTGTGTGTGTGCGAGCATGTACATGTGTGTTTGTGTACTAAAGACAAATGTTTCCTCATTTAGTGTAGTTTGTGGAAAGAAAAAGCTAGTGAGCTGTTTAGATCTAGTAGCAAAGGACTCTGTCTCAGAAAACAAAGCTGAAGGTTTTCCTCCGACTGCCCTGCCGAAGGGTTCTCCGGCAGTGCCAGCTGTGGGCACGTCCTCCCTGATCTGATTCTGTTTCCTCCCAGCACTGTAGTGAATGAAGATGTGCCCCCGTGCAGAGACTCTCCCACTCCGATGCATGCCTCAGCTGCAGACAGTGGGTCTGCACTCAAGGTAAGAAGATTGCTTTTCATTTTCAAGAGACGATTGTGAGTTTAACCTCTCATGGGACCAGGGACATCTGGTCATTTCTCAGTAGCCCTGGGACTTGAGGTGGGAGGAGCAGCTGAGCCTCCTCCCTAGGGAAGACCCTGGGGCTGCACTGCCTATTCCCGAAGAGTTTCTGGACCCTTCTCTCCAGTGTCTGTGCTGCTTGGGGGCTTTATTTTGAGACAGTCTTGGGTGCTGGTCGTGCTTTCTCTTGGTGTCTTGAAGACACACTGTTCTATTCAAGCGGACACTTTAGACGAAAGAGTTAAGCGTTGTCTGTCCAGCACACCTGTGATTTTGCTGAAATTCACTGGATGATTTTCCTAGGAAAACATAAGCTGTGTGAGTGGGCTCATTCCTGTTTTGTTTTGTTGAATCACAACCTTGCTGTGTAGCTCAGGTTGGCCTTGGTGCTCAGTCCTCTGCTTCTCTTTGCCCAGGCTAGGATCCTAGCAGTGCACCAGCATTCCTGGGTAGCTGTTCTGTTCATTGCTGTATTCCAAGTGTCACAGACAGCAGATGGCAAGTGATAGGAACTAATTACAAAATGTGGCCAGCAGCAGGCGCGTCTCACTGGCTGTATCACAGAATCACCAGCTCATTCCAGTTTCCCTCTTATGTGTCCACACCCTAACCAGTCAGAACTCACAGAAACCCAGCATCTTTCTAATTTAACACAAGCATTTCGCCATTTTTGTTGCATAATGTATATTTGTAGTAGAAATTTACCAGATACTTCAAAAAAGGGAAAACTATAAATCACCCTTAGTCGTAGTATGCAAAGATAGCACATAGTTAATATATATGTATAGTATATTTCATTTAGGGCTTATTTTAGTCTGGGTTTATATTGCTGTGATAAAACAGTATGATCAAAAGCAGCTTGGAGAGGATTTAGCTTACATTTCCACATCATACTCCATCACTGAGGGCAGTTGGGGCAGGAACTGATGCAGAAGTCATGGAGGAGTGCTGCTTACTGACTTGCTCCTCACGACTTTCTTACAGAACCCAGGACCACCAGCCAGGGTTGGCACCACCCACAGTGAGCTGAACCTTCTAGTTTGATCATATCTGTTAAGATTCTTTTAATATTAAATCAAAACCAAATACATATATTTATTATACTTTTCATCAACTTAAAAAATAATTGTTTAATTTATGCAAAGATTGTACAGTTATAGCCAATAGCTTCATCTAGAATTGAACAAATAGCACTTTGGTAAACACCAGTTTGTTTAGTAGATGCCCCAAACCATACCAAAAGTATAGCTTCCCTTGAGCACTCTCTTGCCAACCAGCCCTGCCATTGGAACAGTTAGCCTTCCTTTGTGATCGCATTGTACTACTGCATGGGCATTGGCTCTCTGCCCTTCCATATTGAACACCGCCACCACTCAAATGTTCTTTCCCTTCTCATCGTCTAAGAATTCAGCTGGGACACCATGACTGTCCTATCCAAACCTGTTAGCCGGCCACAAACCAGTTGCTGACTTAACTCTTCCAGGTTTTTCTATGTAAATGGAATAGCTATATGAATATTTACAGAGCACTTCTTTTCCTGGTTCTGATTATAGTATAGATTCTCCTCCTTGAAGTGGAATCGTTGGTAGCTCATTTCCAAATGTCCTTTTCTGCTGAGAAGGTCCACACTAGGCCCAAGTCACTGTTAGAAATTCAGAGACTGTGGGAAACTGCAGTGCAATGCTGAATTGTTCATGGATTCTTGTCTTCTGCAGGATGCGACAGATGAATTGGATGCCTTACTTCTTTCTCTAACTGAGAATTTGATGGACCACACAGTCACACCTCAGGTAAATATGCCTCAAAACAGCAAGGTAGACTTGTTTTGAAAATGTTCCTGCTAGGTTCCTTTTTTTTTCTAATTTAATAATTTAGTAAAACTTTTCATTTAATAAGAGTTATGGGGCTGGGAAAATGGCTCACTGGGTAAAACACTTGCTGCATAATCATGAGAACCTCAGTTGGGTCCCCAAAACTCAATAAAACTGGACACAGTAGTGCACATGAAACAAGACAGAAATAGAATTTCCAGAAACTCTCAGACCTGGTAGCCAGATGTTCACAGGAAAGCCTGCCTCAGACAGACAGACTAGCACCTGAGTCCCGCACGTGTGCAGTGGGGTGTGTGCACACCCGCACAAGCACAAAGAGCTTGAATTTGCCTCTTTAGCGTTGCCTTGCTGTCCTCAGGTTCCGCTTTGAATTGCATTTCCCCCTGTGGAAAGCACATGTCACGATGAGCCCATTCATAATTCAGCGCCTCACTAAATAACATGAGAGAAAACCCGGGGCCTGTGTCAGCATGCAGAGTTAAGACAAGGAGCTCTGTGGTCGAGAGCTCTTACTGCTCTTGCAGAGGACCTGGGTTCTATTCCTGGCACCCATGGAGTGGTTCACAACACCAGTTAACTCAGGTTCCCAAGGATCCATTGCCCTTTTCTGATCTCAGCATTCACTGAACACTTGTAATGCCCTTATATGCATATAGGCAAAACACTCATACTCATAAAATAAAAATCAAAAACAATTCAAGAGTGAAGATAATAGTCTGGGCTTGGTGGTTTATGTCTGTAACCCCAGCGTTGAGGAGAGTTGCCGTAAATCCAGGCCAGCTGATCCACAGAGCAAGTTCCAGGCTAGCCAGGGCTATAGCAAAAGTCTGTCTAAAAGATATGTTAAAACTATAAGGACATGTTTATTTATTTTATTTTATTTTTTTACAAAAAAGTGGGGGCACAATTAATGAGTAGTATTGAAAATCTCAGCCCTGTCTAACGTGGAAGGCAGCGGTCCTCAGTACCATTGCCATGAGCAGATACGGCACAGTTCATTTCTTCATCTGGACTAAAGCGTAAGGAGTGACTAGTTACTGTAGGACAAGAGCTGCTTGTGGGGATCAGATGCCTCTCGGGAGTCAGGGGGCACAGATGGCACTTTCTGTTGGTTGTGTAAATCATTAGTGAACTAACTTGAGTGTGTCAGAATTAGCCAGAAGGTGTACTGAACAAATTGTTGGGCCTCTTCTCAGTTTCAAATTAGGTATATCTTGGGAAGACCCCAAAATTTGCATTTCCAAACATGCTCCCATGTGATATTTGGTGATATAGACTACCAGCTTATATAAATAAATAAGACATTACTAAAGGAGAAGAAATAATCCCAGATCTGATCTTGAACCATAATAAATCTTGAAATAGACAAGAGATAGCCTCTAAAATTAATGCCCAAAATAACCTGAAGCCCAGAGAGACATAATTCCTAAGAGCATAACTGAGAACACTCACAGTTTGTTTGTTCTTTGTCTAGTGGGTAGTGAGCTACCCAGAACCACGACAGTATTGTGGCAGAGTGGCCCACACAGAGGCAGGAGGATCTACTACTTCCTCCTAGACTCCAGGCTTCTGCACACATGAATACAAAAAGTCATTGGGACACGTACATGAATAAATTAATTAAACAGACCAAAACAGACGCTGACTTAGGTCAGCAATACTCTCAATGTTTGCCTTGAGAGTAAGGTTCTTATTTAATGTTTTGTCTAGATTACGCTCCTGCTCTTGGGTGTTTCCAGGGATCAGGCTAGAGTCAATGCAGTGTTTGCCCTGGGTTCAATAACTGTAGCCTAGGCTGGCCTAGGGTAACCTAGGAACTAGAAAGTTCCTGCTTTCACCTCCCAAGTGTGTGATTACAGGTGTAAGTCTCCACCATGCTTGAATTGTCTGACTTACATTTTGGCATTTGTTTATATATCGTGTGTGTTCGTGTCTTGTGGGTGCACATGCAGCACCACTGTGCGGGTGAGGTCAGAGAACAGCTTGTTGGAGTTAATCTTTCCTTAGATGATGTGTGTCCCGGGGATCCACCGCAGGTGGTCAGGCCCATGTGAGAGTACCTCTATGCCGTGAGCTATCTCACTTACCCTTGTCTGACTTTCTAATTTTGTCTAATGAGTTTGTCTCAGAGTGTCAATTATATAAGTTAAATTGGCTATCACCCCCAGTATTTTGATACTATTTAGGGCTCTTCTTGTGTGAAGAACCTCTGTAGTGTTTTCCTGATTTAGCTGGTTCTCTTCTATACTCACATCAAGTGCTGTAGCATCAGTTTGAATTTGTCCACCCCACTGGGTAGACCACCCATTCTACACAGAGGAGAAGTAGCCCCCCATGCTACTAAGCAAAGCCAGTCTAGCAAGGCCCTTGACTTATCTCAAGAAGTCAGAATCTCCTCCTGTCTTACCATAATTTATAGACCAGTGGTATCGTTTTACTCTCAGATCTTCAGGCAGTCTTTATTTATTAAAATACAATTGAAATGTCACTACCTCCTCCCAAAGCCCGTGACCTCTGAGGACCATACCCTCAACTGGCCTTAACAGGTTTGTTTGTTCATTTGTTTGTTAGTTAGTTAGTTAGATAGTTTAAAAAACATAGTGATTAAATTTGGCCACTGCATGGTCTTAAGCACCCAGTGTGAAAATATAAACAAAATTAAAATATTGATAATATAAAACAAACAAACAATGGGCTCACTCTCCGTATGAGTGACTGACATGCTAAGTGGAGCAGTCACAGCTGTCCCGGATGTAATCAAATTAAAGGATTCTCATCCTCTTCCCGCTGCTCCTTGTATATTCCTGATTATTCTACTCCTGTCTCCACTTAGAAAGTCAGGAAAATCAGACTAAGCCCACAGCAAACATCATCATCCCCTTGGTGAACAGTTGTGCACCTAGATCTCTGGACCTGGGTAAGCCTGGGTTAGGATTGTTAGTGATAGTGATGCTACTAATCTCTGGACCTTGTGCCTCCAGTGCTGTTGGTGGAAGGCCACTTGATGGAGGAGGGTTATCTGTCTATTGTGTTATTTTCATTGGTCAATAAAGAGACTGCCTTGGCCCCTTGATAGGACAGAAAATTAGGTAGGCGGAGTAAACAGAACAAAATGCTGGGAAGAGGGCTATGAGCCAGACGCCATGGAGCCAGCCACCAGGTCAGACATGCTGAATCTTTTCCGGTAAGCCACCACCTTGTGGTGCAACACAGATTTTTAGAAATGGGTTAATCAAGATATGAGAGTTAACCAGTAACTAACTCTCAAGAGATAAGGGGCCAGGCAGTGCTTAAATGAATACAATTTGTGTGTTCATTCAATTTGTGTGTATTTCTGGGACTAAGCTAGCCGTACAGGAGCCGGGTGAGGCGAAAAGCAGGCCTGCCCGCAGCCCCTCACAACAGATGGCGCCCAACGTGGGGCCCGAACCCACGACCCTGAGATTAAGAGTCTCATGCTCTACCGACTGAGCTAGCCGGGCGGGAGCCGGGTGAGGCGAAAAGCAGGCCTGCCCGCAGCCCCTCACAACAGCCACTCATTCGTTTCCTGGCCATCCAGGCCTGAAATAACCACTTAGAAACTATATTAATTACAACACTGCTTGGCCCATTAGCTTTGGCTTCTTATTGGCTAGCTCTTACATCTTAAATTAACCCATTTCCATTATTTTATATTTTACCATGAGGCTCATCACCTACAGGCAAGATTCTGGCTAGCAGCTCCTGTCTTTCTTCTCTGGTGGCTACGTGGTGTCTCACTGATTCTGCCTTCTTTCTCCCAGCATTCAGTTTAGTTTTCCTGCCTAGCTCTATTCTGCCCTATCACAGGCCAAAGCAGCTTCTTTATTCATTAACCAATAAAAGCAACACGTATACGGAAGGACTTCCCACACCACAATGCTGTCTTAAGTCCTTCACTCATTTACACTTGAGCCATGTTCAGGTGCTCCTGTGCTAACCTAACTCCAGTACCTGGAAGTCAGCCAGAGTGGAGACCATATATCCTTCTAATGCCCCAGTGTCTGCTGGCAGCTACTAGTGTGTGTATTGTATTTACAAATAAATACATATAATTTAAAAGATTTTTAAGAATAATAAATGAGCCAGGTAGTGGTGGTGCACGCCTTTAATCCCAGCACTCTGGAGGCGGAGGCAGGCAGGTCTCTGAATTCAATGCCAGCCTGGTCTACAGAGCCAGGACAACCAGGACTATACAAAGAAACCCTATCTTTAAAAAGAAAAAAAAATGTAATATGAATTAACAGTAGCAGCAGTGTTCTTAACTTATAGTCTTCCCTGTTGTGGACATCGTCAAAATCCTAAGCCTGGGGCTAAAAGTTATGTCAGCTCAGGAGTCTCTGTGGAAACTGCATCCCCTCCAGTGCATTTCACAGTAGACAATATTGTGAGCGTAATTTTGAAAATAAGTCAGTCTTCCCTAAAAGTAAGTGGCTATGAAATTTGTTTTAGGTGTCTTCGTCATCCATGATCACACCCCGGTGGATTATTCCAGTAAGTCCATACTATTCAATTCTTTTGGTTACAGCCTCAGAAACTTAAAGGAATCTCACATTCTTGTTTTTCCTACAAATATTGGGGTCATTATCAAAGCTCTGTTAATTTAACAGCTTCAGATTTGTGGCTCAACTTTTCTGTAAATGTTAAATGATTGAGACGGATAAAAATAAAAATCTGAGGTGAAAGGGGCTGGAGAGATGACTCAGTGGTTAAGAGTACTTACTTTCTTTTGCAGAGGGCCTAGGTTTGGTTCCCAACATCCACATGGCAGCTCATAACTACCTGTAACTCCAGTTCCAGGGGATCTGACTCCCTCTTCCAGACTCCACAGACATCAGGCACATGTGTGGTACACAGACATACATGCAAGTAGAGCATTCATACACATATTAAAATAAATAAGCAGCTTGGGGACTGGCGAGATGGTTCAGTGGGTAGGAGCACTGCCTGCTGCTTCAGAGGGCCAAGCTTTGGTTCTCAGCATGCACATGGTGGTTCACGTCTGTAGCTCCAGTCCTAGGGGAACTGATGCCCTCATTTGGTACTGGGCGCCAGGCACACATGCGGTGCACAGACATACACGCAGGCAAAACACTGCACATAAAATAAACAGCCGGGAGCATCGGGCTCTCCTCTTTGCTGCCCGGTCAGTGAGGCTGATGTGAGGCTGCTGTTGCCTCTGTGCTGATGCGTGCATCTCCTACCGCAGAGTGCTGCCGTCTCCAACAGGCTCACAGGGTGTGGAACGTCTGTGGCCGGGACCGAAGGGTGTACTAAAGATGGGTTCTCAATGATCTCCCCCCCAGCACCATTCTTGGTAGATGCTGTGACCAGGTGAGGAAATCACTGCTTGTTTACAGCTTTTTCTGATAGGAGAGAAATGATAAGAAATGTTGATTATATTTAAAATAACAGTGTTAGTTTTTGTAAGGTCTTAATTGAATTTGATTGAAAGTGTATAGGTCTTTAAATGTTGTTTAACATAGTATTTTTTTCTTGCATATTGATAATTTTCAAAAAATACTGGGATTTCTTTGTGAAGAAAATGTTAGTAGACTTGAGGTCTCTGTTTTAAAAATCAGGTTGTTCTTTATCCTTTCTTCTTTACTCTTATGACTGTGGCCTGCTCTCCTTACTACATGTGACACGGTGCAGTATGAAGTAGGGGTAGGGCGTCCCCAATGTGAGGACCCACAAATAGCTTTTACTAGATAGGCATGTGAACATGGGTCCTGGGGGCTGTCCGAACACCCCCTCTCTGTAGAGGGTAAGCTAAGCCAAGTTCAGACAGAAGCAAAATTAAAAAACAGAAGGAAAAAAAAACAGTACAGCACTGTTCTTACTATCCAAAAGCTTGGCCGGTGAAGAAAGGGTTAAATATATTGCAGCCTGTAGTCAGGGAGCCAGGACCCCTGTCTAGGTCTGCCTTCTCTCAGCATCTCCACTGCAGCTGAGGGTCCTTCACCAAGTCTCTCCCTTCCGTGCAGCTCTGCTCCTCTGGCTGAAGACCCAGCCTTGAAGCAGAAGTGCTTGCTGACCACTGAGCTCTGAGGGCTGCTGCTCCCCCACGCTACCCCGTCAGCCCTGGATCCAGCCCAGCGAGTCCTTCACTTGAGGAAAACCTTCTACCTGGATTTGACTTCAACTCCATGAAGAAAGTAGCTACATTTTCCGTCCGACTGGAAGTCTACCCCACATAACTCCTCTTCAATCAATTCCCCGTCATCGAAATTCATTAGTTTCCATCAAACTCTTGGCTCCACCTAGCGGTCCCAACTGTTTATAACAGCCTATGGCAAGACTTGCTGTCCAGAGCCTTTTCCCTGCCATTTCCTGTGACGTCAGGGTGAGCACACCTGACCTGAAAGCCTGCTGAAGAAACGAGTGGCACCGTCCCTGAAGAGATGGAAACACTGTCGGTGGATCCCAGGCCAGCTCTCACAGTCGCAGGACTCCAGGGACGCTGAGAGATGGAGGCTTTATGTCGCCCACACTCAGAGGCCTGAGCAGTAGCCATCTTACTGCTCTGCACTTGTTTCAGATATGTTAGGAACTACGGAGTGAGAGATCATCTCCAGCCGTGTGCTCCCCAGACCCCTTTCCTAGAGCAAAGATCTGCATCACTCCGGTCTGTAACTTTGCAGCGGGGGAGGGAGCAGGTGTCTGGTCAGAGACCTGAGTCCTCCACCTACCGCCTGTGCTGTCCCTCAGGAGCCAGTGGGAGTGCAACCCTAACTGGCTTACAGCTGTGAAGGCCAGCGCAGCAGCGCTGTACACCAGGACCTGGTTAGACACAGTCTCCTGTTCCTTTCCACATACGCTGAGTGAAAAGAAAACGGAAACACCAGGCAGAGATGGGGAATGGTGGCAAGAGGGACCACTAGGCACAGTGTCGTGAATGAAGGCAGCCTACATTAGGGTTTGTATCCACTTTAAAGTTCTCTAGAATTCCATATTCTCCGTACCCAAAGAAGTTCTGATGTTGTAGTACGTGCTCATCGTAGAAAGTGTGTGGATGTGAACCTGAGCCAGCACAGACAGTGACACTAAAGTAGCTCAGGTGTGTGGGCTGGGAGAGGGGGACCTCAGTTGCCATGGGGACTGGGGATGACATGCAGACACTGGGGAAGCCACTGGGGTCGCCCTCTCACCAAACACTGATGTTAAGCTGTATCTCCTGAGTTTGCTGTTTTCTGCCTGACATGTGACATGTATATGGTTGAGCACTCATTCTTCTCCGCCAAGAGAACATCCAGCTCTGTGATGGTTCAGATGCTGTGATCTGGACTGCCCTTGGCTTCCCCATGTGTATTATGTGTTCAGGCAAATGCTCGTGTCTGACTGGGAAGCTTGGGGACTCTCGGCCTTACAGTTTTCAGGGAAGCTGGACAGTTAGAAAGCACTTTTGCGAAAGGAGATAGAACTGCCCTTCTTGCTGGCTGGCTCCCCTTAGCCAGTAGGCGGCTCATGCATTTCCCTGGCAGTATTTTGCCAGTCCTCGGTAATAAGACATTCCTCACAGTGTGGGACCTAGAGCCCGGGGCTTGCTGCAGGACACTGGGCTGGGTCCTGGACGGCCTGCATGGTCTGCTGCACTGCTGACCATACAACGGCTAAGGCATGGTGGCTTAGAAGTCCTACGTGTCTCATCCTGTTTAGGATCGAGCACTGTCCTTTCCAGACAGAGTAGCTGAAAGTACCCCCACACCATCTGTGTCTCCAGGTACATGAATTCTTGTAGTCAAAGTATTGCTAGGGACTTTGTTAGCGGTCCCTTGAACCTCCAGTGAAAAGAAACCCTCTGTCCTACTGTCGAGTCTTAAGTTAGAACTAACGCTCAAGTGATGCATTTGCCCTCACACGTCAGACATACATCAGACTTGTCAGAGGGATAGTCTGCCCCTCTGAAAGGGTGGCAGTGTATCCGACAGACCCGAGGGCACCTGGAAGTGGTAGGTGGGAGTATGTGAAGCTGTCAAGAATGGGTAGAGTGAGGCGGAGGTGACAGCCGGGTAAGAAGGCAGCCGGCAGTGAGAGGCTAAGTTAGGAAGGGGCAGCTGCCAGTGCTGGGCTTTTATGTCACACTGGAGATAGCGCCCAGCAGCTGTCCTGCCAAGTGCCCAGGGGAGCACCTAGACAGAGTTCACGGTGTGTCCCTGCCTGGGGTTGGTAAGATGTGGAGGTTACAGTTAGCAGTCCTAGACTCCTCCTCAGCACTGGAAAGGAGTCTGTCTGTCCATGTAAATATGTAAATGATCTGGAGACCAGCAGTTCTGTCCACATGGGCGGCACTCCCTGTTGTCTCTCCTGATCCTCAGGAGGCTGCTGGACAGAGCCATGAGCAGACTTCTTAGCTTCTTACATTGCTTTGAGAAAATTCTTGTGGAAACGTTCTTTCCATGTCCTGCTGGCCGACGGTGCTCAGGCACCCTGGGTGTGTCTGTGGATGAGACCTCTGAGCTGTTTCTAGGATCTACTGCTTTCTCTTCCTCCCATTTCTGGCTAAAACTTGGACCTCTCTTCTCTTAACTGAGCCCCAGGAAGTCTTGCCATTGTTTGCAAAATTGTGTGCTAGTCGCTCAACTGGTGAAAAACTTGGAGATTTGTTGTTTGTTTTATGCTTTTGGATTTTTTTTTTTTTGAGACAGGGTTTCTCTGTGTAGCTCTGGCTGTCTGAACCCCCTCCATAGACCAGGCTAGTCTGGAACTCAGAGATCTGCTTTCCTCAGCCTCCCAAGTGCTGGGATTAAGGGCATGCTCCACCACTGCCCAGCAACTTGGCTGTTTTCTAAGCAAGGGTTTTAAGGAACAAAATCCTTGTCTTCTCATTTAGTATCATTTACTCATTTGTTGTTTTACTTTGTTCTGCTGTTTTGAGACAGAGTCTCGGTGTGTAGCCCAGGATGGTCTTAAACTCACAGGATTCTCCTGTCTCACTTTCCAAATACAGGAATTTCAGTCATGAACTGCCAGACCTAGCGTATGTTGTAGTGACAAGGTTTTGGTTGGTTGGTTTTGGGTTTTGAGTTGGGATCAGAGCCAGGGCCTTGGACTGAGAGTGGCCGCACCTGCCTGTAATCCCAGCACTCAGCAGGCAGAGGTGGGTGGATCTCTGTGAGCTGCAGGTTGTCTCACTCTGCCCCATCCAGAGCTGGAGACCACGAACAGTTCGCCACTCAGTTGTGCTGCTGCTGCCCAACATCGCCAGGGCAGTGCCCGCGGGCATAGCTATGCTCTCTGAAGCTTGTTTACAACCAAGCTCCAAGCCAGCGGTTCTCAACCTGTGGGTCACCACACCCTTGAGGGCCACATATCCGATATCCTACATATCAGATACTGACATTGTGATTCATAACAGTAGCAAACTTAACAGTTATGAAGTAGCAGCTAAGTAATTTTGTAGCTGGGGGTCACCACAACATGAAGGGTCACAGCATTAGGAAGGTTGGGAACCGTTGCAAGTGCTGCTCCCCGGCTCTGAGAGCAGTGGAGTGCTGCTTGTCCGTGAAGCTGCAAGGTGAGACCAGGTCTCAGCCATGAGAGTATCGGTGTGATCCTGTTAATCCATCCCTTGGCCATGGAGTTGACTGAACTCAGATACACTTGTATAATAAAGAATGCATGTTTATAGATCATTTGTACTTTTTTTCTGAAAAAAAAAATACCTGAGTTTGTAGGCGGTCAGGATGGACTTTGAGGAAATATCCCTGTGCTGCCAGGGTGGGGGAGCTCGGTTTGCCCTGGGGGAACTTGTCCTGAGCTGAGTTCTGCTGTGCTTTAGAAGTTCTTGCTGGAGACTTGCTGGTGGGGCTGCAGTCCTTCCTCTCTCATTGCATTGTGGGGGGTGATACCCACTAATTCTCAGGATTTCTTCTTATCAGAGGAGTGTGTGTGCGTGTGTGTGTGTGTGTGTGTGTGTGTGTGTGTGAGAGAGAGAGAGAGAGAGAGACTGTGTGAGTGTGTGTGTGAAATAGTGTGTGTTATGTTGTGAGTGTGTATGTATATGAGTGTGTGTGAGAGTCTGTGTTTGTGTGTGTGAGTGTGTGTGTGAGAGAGAGTCTGTGTGTGAGAGAGAGAGTCTGTGTGTCTGTGTGTGTGTCTGTGTGTGTGTCTGTGTGTGTGTGTGTCTTTTCATGGAGCCCTTTGCTCGCCTAGTTTTCACAGCTGGATACAGTAGATTGTTATGAGGACTCACCAACTATTTTGTGTTTACTTTTCTACGTGGTAAGCTCTGCAGTAGCTTTGAAACTGTAATTTATTTTTGTATGAGGTACATTATATTCGGTGAATCCCTATTGTATATGGCTTGTGTTAGAAGCACTACCCTGAACTGTGAGTTGTCTGTACACTGAACACGATCTCTAGACATGACCCATTCAAATAAAATGATGAAAACGTTCATGTTTTATGAGCTGTTTTTTGAGCATGCAAGGCCCTGACTGGATCATTGAGTCAGAGCCACTGTTAATACTAACCAGATGTAGTGAATTGGAGCACTGGTACCGTGTTGGGGATTTGCATCAGTGTGGGTGCGGGAGGTTGGAAGTGGAGATGTTGCTAAAGCCAAGACTCAGGCTGGTGGCTCAGGAGGTGGCTCAGTGGGTTATGCCTCCCAAGCATGAGGACTTGAGTTCAGATCTCCAGAGCCCACAAAACCAGCCATGGGCACATGTCTATGATCCCAGTACTCATGCAGTGATGTGGGATCAAAGACAGGAGTATCTCCTGAGACTCACAGCCCCACCCACCCCCCTGGCAAATGCAGCCTGGCATGCCCAGCAATAGGTGAGAGACCCTGCCTCGAGGTGGATGGCCAGGATCTACATGTGAGGTTGTCCTCTGACCTGCACATGCATGCTCCTGCACTCCTACACATGAGTACAGACACACAACACACAAAACTTTCTTAAAAAGGTATTGGTTGGTGAGCATAATGGTACATCCCTGTAACCCCAGCCTTTGGGAGGCTGGATGGTCAGTGTTCAAGGCCATCACAGACTGTATAGCAACACTGTCTCTAAATAAAAATAATAAAACCCTCATTGGTAATACGCAGTCCACCCTGAAAGGCCACAGTGTCACTCCAGGGATTTAATAACATCTTGGGACTTGAATCTCCACTGCTTCCTCCCCACAGGCGTCGGGTGAATCATCCCGACCAGCGTCCAGTACTGTCGTCCGAAGGGCCACACGTAGTGCGACTCAGCCTGTTGCTGACAGTGGGCCTCATCCTGTTGTTCCCCAGCCCTCTTAGGTGCGGTGTTCTGTGAGCAGCGTGGCTGTCCAGGTCATTTGACAGGCTGCTGCTGGGCCAAGACAACACACCACACAAGGTAGCAAGGCTTCTGGGAAAGTGGGGGCATCTTCCAGCTCCCTCATTCCTTTGCCTGGAGAAAGGACCGACTTTTCTAGGCCTTTCAGATATGCCTAGAAGGCAGGAACATGGGCTCCCTTACCTGTGCTGGACACTAAAGAAAACGCCAGAAGTAACAAAAGCCATTCTGACCCAAGCAGGACAAGCCATGGGAGAAGTGAATTGTCCTCCACATCCACAGGAGGCTAGGTCATGGACAGAACAAAGGGGGTGTTGGTGTGGACAGGTATCCAGCAGTTGCTCCACCCAGGCTGTGCTTACTTGAAAGAAAAGGGGACAGATGCTGGGCTATGAAACACCCAGATAAACCCAGACAGGGCTTGTTTGGCCTGCAGCAGAGCTTGCAGGCGGTTCAGAGATGATCCTGAGTCAGTTATGGTCAGGGACCCTAATGGGTCCTGACTTCCTAGCTCAGAGCGGTCCATTCAGTGAGTATTCATCTCCCTAAACTGAGGTTCCACAACTCCGTGCTGAGGTTGAGCAGAGAGGGGGAGGAGGGCATCTCACCCAGGGAGGGCATATGTCCTAGGCCAGGTTGACAGCTGTCTGACTCATGCTCCCAGGCTAACTCCCAGGCTAGCAAGATGTTATGGAGAAACATTGTGAGGACCAACTGCCCTGGCTCCTCAAGACTGGACATCTAACTCAATCAATTGAGTGCTTACCACAAATCCCAGAATCCCATCCCCAGTGCCACATAAACCCAGGCATGGTGGTCAGTGTGTTCAATCCCAGCACATGGCGGGTGCGGCAGAAAGAGTCAGGTCATCCTTTATTACATAAGGCCAGCCTGGGCTACAGGAGAGTGCCCCATCCCCCCCAAAAGAAAACAGATGATCTGGCCTGGACCCTCAGCATACAGAGAGGAACCAGCTTGTCCCAAGCTTCACTCCAGGGCATTGACTCACTGCTCTCTGCTTGCTGCCCCGAAGCAGAGCTGCACACAGCAGGGTCGAAGCCCCACAGGAGCTTATCTGTGAGAGCAGTCCCTTCCCAAAGCAAGGGATGTGTCCACACACAGACCTGGCGCTGTGTTTGTGTGCCTCCCTTTGGGCTCCACGCGTCCTCTCCCTAGAGTGCAGCCTGTCCGCCCACCGTTCCTGTCATCTGCTCCCAAACCCCCATGTGCTGGTTTGTAGGAGCCCTGGGTAGTCAGGCCTGGGTAGCCTACTGCTTTCATTCCAGCAGACAGAGGCAAGCGGGTCTCTGAGTTAGAGCCAAGCCTGGTCTACATAGCAAGTACCAGGACAGCCAGGACTACATTGAGAGACCCTGTGCTGATAAACCAAGAGAGTGTGTGTGTTAGTTCTGAGCACCATACAGCTTATTGGAAAAGGCCACCCTCTCCTTAGAACTCTTCCTTGATTTGAGACTATTTTGTTCTGTTTGTTTTGGACATGGGGATCTCATATTCAAGGTCAGCCAGGAACTCACCGTGTAGCTTGTGAGTTGCTCACTGTGATGGTCTTGAATTCCTGATTGTTCTGTCTCCATCTTGTCCAGTTTTTGCAGTGTCGGGGATCTAACCCTCATGCATTCTAGGCAAGCAGTCTGCCAAGCGAGCTGCATCCCCAACTGCCCTGGCTGAGATTTGTTTCATTTACAGACCTACGGAGCTGGACACACAGGAGATTTGCCCACGATTTTACACGCACTGATCTCTTAGGGACCTCAGGTTGGCAACTGTTTGCTGGGTTGAACTGGTGTAGGAGGGTCTTCTTTCTATGTGTTGCTTTCATTGGTTAAATAAAGAGACTGCCTTGACCTTTTGATAGGACAGCAGCTTAGATAGGCGGAGTAGACAGAGCAGAATGCTGCGAGAAAGGAGGCAGAGACTGAGAGCCACCATGGAGCCAGCCGTCAGGTCAGACATGCTGAATCTCTCCTGGTAAGCCACAGTCACGTGGTGATACACAGATATTAGATGTGGATTAAAGCAAGATGTGAGAGTTAGCCAATAAGAGGCTAGAACTAATGGGCCAGGCGGTGTTTAAATGAATACAGTTTCCGTGTAATTATTTCGGGTAAAGCTAGCCGGCCGGGAGCTGGGCGGAACGAAAAGCAGCCCGCCACTCCTTTTACAACATTGAACCGTGTGTCAGGCAGGCCTGAGGAGCAGCTGACAGAGAGGTCTGCTCAGGGAATCCAGTATAAAAGAACTGACCTCCACTGGTAGGAAATGCTGACAGACTGAAGAAAAGCAGACAGATCCAGATGGCAAGGTGCAATTTTATCTGGACTCATGGAAGCCGGTGGATCTTTTAGGGGGATCCTCAAGTCAGAGGGTGGAGCTGGAATGTACCTCATTTATCTCAAGCTGCTATCAAGGGTGCCAGGCACATTCCTAATGCCCACAGGACTAGAGTCTGATTACAAAGTTCCACACCACTCTAGAGGTTTGCTATCAGTAGTATGCTGGGCAACTTCGGGGGAGGAGGACCACCAGGGTTCCCAGAAGCCAGAGTGACAACAGCGTGGCTGCAGGCCACGTTTGGATTTCTACACCATCTTCGGAGTAAAAGTTCATGGCCTAGAATATGAAGTCAGGTGACACTGGCAAGCTGCCCATGTGGACCAGTACGGAATTTCAGAACACAAACGGACCTTGTCGTAACCTCGTTCACCAAACTTCTGCCTGGGCCTTGTAAAATGGGAGTGCTTTAAGTGCTACCTTGTTGTAGGAGGTTGCTTGTTCATCTCCCAGCCACCCAGACTCAAATTAATCACACAGAAACTATTATTTGAATCACTGCTTGGTCAATCACTTAAGCATGCTAGCTAGCTCTTACATCTAGAATTAACCCATTTCCAGTATTTTATATTTTGCCACGAGTCTTGTGGCCTACCAGCAAGGTTACAGCATGTCTATCTCTGGTGGTGGCTCCATGGCTTCTCTTGACTCCACCTTCTTCCTCCCAGCATTCAGTTTAGTTTTCTCCACCTAGTTCTATTCTGCCCTATCAACAGGCCAAGCCAATTTCTTTATTAACCAGTGGTGTTCACTACTTGCCTTGTTCTGTGGTGAGGATTAAGTGAGCACAGGCTGCAGAAAAGGCTGCTCAAACCGGGTGTACTGGTGTAGGCATGTCACCCCAACACTGGGGAGGGATAAATAAGGAGACCCCTAAGGCTTGCTGCCCCACCAGTCTAGCTGAAGTGGCAAATTGTGGATCAGAGACAAACCTTCTGTCAACAAATAAGGAATAAGGACTCTGACCTCCGCACACACAGCAAGTGGATATACATGAAAATACACTGTGGTGGCTTGAATGATGTGGCCTCTATAGTCTCAAGCATATAGTCCCTGCTGGAAGCACTCTTTAGAAGATGTGGCCTTGTTGGAATAGGCATGCTACTAGGGACAGGTGTGATCTTACAGGAGGAGGTATGTTACTGGGCATGGGCTTTGAGAATTGTAAGTCTTGTGCTGTTTCACGTGTGCTTTCTGTTTCTGGCCTTGCAATTGAAAAGAGGCTGAACTTTGTAGGTGCTTAATGGGCCATCCTGATAGCTGCTTGGGATACAGTAGTAGCCTTCCACATTTCTCAAACAAACACAAACAA